TGATAATGAAGCATTATTATTATCTGATGAAAGTATTATTATACCTGGTTTACTTGTTGGTCTTAATGTATTAGATTATAATTTTTGTTTAAGAGAAACACCACTTGATTATCCTATTGAATCAATTATACATTATAGTTTATATTTACGTGAAAGACGTATATCATCAATATCATTAAGTAATGCACATCCACCAGGTGCAATAAAAGATCCAATTGATGAATTAGATGATTATTCAGCAGCAGCATCACTTATAACAAGAACAAATCCACAAAATAATGATACGATTGTTCCAACAAATACAGATAGTATAGAAACATTAGATGAAAATAGTCCAGATAGTTCATATAATCAACGTCTTTCAAGTATACTTGATCAAAAGAATTATATTGAAGAACTTAATCGAAATTTACAGTAAGTAATTAAATATTGATTAAATATGTTTCTTTATTTCTTTTTGTCTAAATTAAAAAAAAACAAACTAGGAAAACAGTAGGAAATTTACAAAAAAATTTACAAACACTTGAACAAACAAATAAAAATCTAGTAGAAAATGTCGCTCAACAAAAAACTCGTATTGAACAATTAGAAGAAGAACTAACAAAAATAACATCAGAAAAAGAACAAATACAATCATTTTATCAACGAAAACTTGAGGTAAGTAAAAATTTTAGAGACTTTAATTTTGTTTCAAATTTCCGAAAAATTCAATTGATCATTAAATATATAGATGTTAAAATCTTTTTACCGGAAAAAAAACCTTATCCTAGGGATATTTATTAAAAACTGCCGAGGTACTGATCAAAATCTATATTTTTGTTTTTTCATATGTATCCGACAAGAGTATCATCTAAAACCAATAAATCCAAATTTTTAGCTCATTTTTATGTGTTTCATAGTAAAGTTAACCTTCATTGACTTTTTAGTACTACCTAATTCGTATCAAGAAAATATTGATTCATTACCTCCAGTTGAACAAGATGAGCTATTTAAAATATTGTATATCATTTATTTATTAATTCTCATGGAGTATCTCTCTGAATAACTTCTAATGATTTAAGTGTTAAACGAATATTTCTTCAATAATCTCATATCAGTTATTTTTCTCATTGGATAATACAATTAATTTATGATTTTTTTTTCTTTTTGTTTTCTTAACTTAGACTTTAAATGCTGATATGGCAGTTGAACGAGAAACTTATCAAAGATCTCGAACTGGATTTGATTTAATGTATAATGAATTACAAAAGAAATATGACGATGAATGCATATCAAAACAAGTAAATAGGAAAGAAAATTGTTTTCTTACTGTAAAAAAAAAAATTTTTTTTTTTTTCTCATATGAAAATATTAGAAAATTGAAAATATATATCAAAGTCAATTATCTCAAAATAATCAGTATATTGAATCAACAAAATCAATGGAAAAAGATATTGAAACCAAAACAGTATTATATAATCGTATGAAAGAAGAAAATGATCGTCTTACAGAACAATTACAAGTAAAAATTTTCATAAATATTATTTTTCAATCATAATTTTATATTTTATTAGACTGAAAAAACTCAAAATGTTGAAAGCGAACATCAAATACAGAATAAAGAAAAAGAAAACCAAATGTTACGACAAACTATCAATGAATTAGAAACAAAGTATAGTTTTGTAAACTAATATTCGAATCATATAATGATAGCTATTTGTTCGTAGGATAAGTTTAGAGAATAGGTTATTGTTTAAGAGGAGCTTCCTCATTGTTATTGAAGCTCTTGATAAGTAGAGCAAAATTTATCGTAGGCTCAAAATTCCCAAAGACTTCCTTTTCTTACAGATATTAGATACTATTTGGAATGTTTAGTTTTTTGTTGTTTCTTTTTATCTTTTCCCACTCGAATACAAAGATCATTACCAAAAACCAGCGTTATATCATAATATGAAACATGAAAAAAAAACAGGCATTCTTACCACTTTCTATTGTAAGCAGAAGAAAGTTTTGACTCGATCGGATGTACTGCGATAAAGACTCGATGGTAATTTTCAAATTTTTGCTTTTTTTCTTTGTCAAAAACTCAGTTTTTAAAAGCAACGAACTAATGTGTAAATTTATGTTTTATAGTAAAAATATTTCATTCATCTTTTTCGGCTTTTTGAGTTTTATACTTATATATATTAATTTCGAAAATATGTCCAATATAGAGAGCAGAAAAAAAAATATCTAAAAAGTTTCAGTCGAAAAAAGCGGCAGTTCTCTTACTTGTAAGAACTAATAAGTAGTTTACAGATTGATGCTCAGCACAATCCATAGTTGCATTTCATAGGATGATAACGGAAGTCCGTCAATCGATTAATCGCTTTTAAATCAGAACTATGTGCATGAATAGTATTTTTTTTTAAATGAATGTCGTAGTAACAGAAAAAATGATTTTCGACTTCAAACATTGCATAGAAATACGCCGTAACAACAATAATTTATTGTGAAATATTCAGATATATCTTGAAATAAATCATAGAATTTTTATTCATCACTTTTCTTGTATTTAGTATCGAACAAATCAATAACGAAATACATAAACTTAGTAATGAAAATGATAAATTAAATCAAACAGTGTCTAAATTGAATACTGAAAAGTATGTAGATTATTAAATTAAAATAATAAAGACCAAACATACTAATATATATATATATAGAACATCATTAGAAACTGATTTACGTATTGAAAAAGAATTTCATCAACGTCTTCAAAAAGCATTAGCAAATGAAAAAGAAACAGTTTCTACACTTCATTTTGATATTCATGAATTAAGTTCAATAAAACAAGTAAAAAATTTCTCTCGAATTATTTAATTATTGTTTTTTTTTTTTGATGTTGCTACTAAAATTTTAGGAATATGATTCATATAAAAAAGAAATGATTAAAAAACAAAATGATTCAGAACAAAAATTTCATGATCAAGAAGAAACTATACGAGAATTAGCCTTAAAATTAGAAGGATATATTCAACGTGAACATGAATTTCGTGAAAAAGATGTTTTACGAACATCAACATGGATGAAAGATGAAGATGTTAAAGAATGTTGTCAATGTAAAAAAGATTTTAATACACTTCGACGAAAACATCATTGTCGAAAGTAAAGTTTTTCTTTTGTCTTATACGAAAAAAAAAACAAAGCATATTAAATATAATCTTTGGTAATTTCAGTTGTGGTCAAATATTTTGTGAAGCTTGTGTTTGTACAAAATTAACATTAACTGGTTCAAATAAACCTGTACGTGTTTGTGACATGTGTTGTAAACATGTACTCGCTCAATGTGCAGTGAATAATCCATGAATGAATGAAGAAAAAAAAACAATCAAATTGCAATAAAAAAAAACAATACAATCATGATTTTTATTTTATTTATTCTCTATTTATATTGCATTTTTTTTTTCGTTGTGTTTTGTAATTTATTTAATGACCGCTCAATTTTACTTCTAAACCAAAAAAAAAAAAGAGAAATGATTTTTTTTTCCTATTATAACTCGGTGAATTTTTAAAGATAATTTTAGTCAATATTTTGTGATATTAATAATATAATATTTTTTAGATATCATTAACAAGCCAAAAAAAAAACAAACTTTGACGCTTCGAATACGAAGTCTTAATTTTTGGTTTGATGGTTATTGTTCACAATAAGGTTTAATGATATTTCTTTGCCTAATTTTCAGAAAATCCTTTTAATTAAAAGTTGTAAAACTGAAAGAGACAGAATAGAAGATTGTCCAGAAAAGTTTACGCTTGAACGTTAGCATAAAGAATCTAATTTGTTTCCAACAAAGGTTTAAGGAAAATTAAAGTTTCTTATAGTTGCACTGAGTGATAGAAAACGTTAATTAGTAGCAAATGACATGTCTCCGGGCATTCTACGACAGTTTTCCATCAATTTTAAAAGAAATTCGAAAGTATTTTTTTTGTGTAGATTCCTATAGGAAATGACAAAAAGATTACTTTTAAGCTTTTCTGAATCATTTGATTAAGAAGTTTTTGGTATGAGAGCAAGAAATATGAGTTGACTGGTAGAGATAAGGATTCGGATAATGTTTGAATATAAAGAATCTATGATTTCTTATAGACCTCTAAATCTACAATTCCTTCTTTTCAACTCAACATATATTTATAGTGATATCATGCTGTGATACTAGAATCATAAGAGAAAGAGAAAAAGTTTGATAATTTATAATATACACAAGCTCTTTAACTAAATGGTTAATATAGAGATAATTTTTCATTGAACTTCGAGAATATAATGAGAATTTTATTCTCTTCAAAATTTTTATTAAAAATGAGTTGGATTCTTTAGATTAGTTACCATTACGCAAAAAAAATCGATATTAAATCTGTATGATAAATCTAGCTTATTCGAAAAAATTTATAATTATTCTTAATCAATATCTACATAGTATTTAGCATTTTGATCTTGGTACATTTTTGTATGACTTATAAATCAAAAGAATTATATAAGTTATTAATCATTCAACTAGATGATAAGGAAAAACGTTAGTGTCGATCGCATGTTTGACTGAAGAATAATTCCTAATTCACTTTTCACAAACCTCAATTTTTAGATATGTGATTTAATAAGATATAGTACCACGCGAGGATGAAGTTGACATGTAAAAAAAAAAATGAAGATTTACTCTATAAAATGAATTCTTACAATAATTGAATATTGACATTCATATTTTGAACTTATCGAAATGTTACAAGATATATTCATTATCAAGTAAAGAAAATCACAGCAGACAAAAAGCTTCAAAATAAGAAAAACCTATATGAATTAGCAATTTCTTTATAATACTATACATATTTTTTTTCAGCAGTAAAATTAATTCTACATTGCAATTGATTATCGTAGACCAGTTCAATGAGTTGACAATGAAGAATATAGTTCTTTTGTTTTTGTTTAGTTTTAGATAACTATTTTTAATTTTTTTTTTATTATTATTGAAAAACAACAACGAAAAATGCCAACTGCAAAAGATGATCTTCCTGATTTTCGTGAAGCTTTTAGTTTATTTGATGATCGTGGTGATGATAAAATTCCAAAAAATCTATTTGGTGA